CAACCCTGCCCCCTCAATCCTGATCACACCTTACTGCTATGCTTTTGCACATGCTAGCTCCTCCACCCGGAACACCTTGCCCTCCGTCACCCACTTGCCAACCCCTCGTTATCCTTCAAGTCTCAGCTTAACTGTCCTCTCTTCTGGAAGACCTCTCCTGATTCCAGGCTGACTTCGATGCTCATTCTCTAGTGCTCTAGTACAATTTGTCCTCACCTCCATTAATCTAATACTCTAATTGCTTGTTTACATATCACCTTCTGTGTCAGACTGCAAATCTCCTGGTGGCAGAGACTGTGTCTTTCCACTGCAGCAGTCATGAGATCCTGCATGTAGAAGACACTTGATAAAATGGGAGTTCCATTTCCCAGGTCACCTTCTCTGGGGTCTCTTCCTTACTGGTCAAAGTCTCTGCTGCCCTTGGTCCCTGTCCCTTCTTCCCATTATTGGTGGCCCCCAGCCCCACTATCTTCTCCAAGCCTCTAAACTCTGAAAGCAGCTGAATCCTGGTCCAGGAGGCACTTGTAGGTTTAGAGATAGACCAGTACAATTCCCAAAGCTACATGTCCACACTGGCTATTTTTTGTTAATCTTCTATTTCTTTGTAGCAATAAACATCAAAGCCTGAAAGGGGAAAGGGCTTGTGTACTTATTTTCAGGTGAGCAAAAAGGAGGAGGCAGGGAGAGTTTGCCTCACTCCTTAAAACCGACTTATAGAGAAGAGAGGGAGGGAGTGGCCACTTCAAAAAAGAAAGGAAACCACCCAAGCACCTAGGAATACTTACAAGGCAAAAGCAGCCAGCCAGGTCCTGAGAAGTAGATCTTCCACAGATCTTCCTACAAACCGCTTCAGAGAAAAGGGTGTCCCCTCCCTTCTGAGGCCTTGCCAGTCCATTGGAATTCACAGAATATCAACTCTTCATTGATGCTGGGAGATCAAGGACTCATTTTCTGGTACCCAAATACTTCATTCTCCTTTATTCTTTTTCATTTGAGAAAGCTAATTTGGGGAGCATGCTATTAGTAGGACATAGTGTAACATAACGAAGTAAGCTTCTGTGAAGCAGCAGCAGCATGAGACCCAACAGTGCTTCCCAGCTACCCTTTCTCCTCAACCTCTCAAAAGCCAATAAGGAGAAGTCAGGGCAGAGCACACAGGAGGTCTCATCTGAGACCCTCATCTGATGCCAACTCACTACTTGGATCACACCAAGGATTTTATATGTCCTCTCCTTACTAACAAGTAACAAAACAAGCTACACAAATCTATAGGCCCAGAGAAGAGACCAGCAGAGATGCAAGTAACTAGAAAGTACAAACAGTACACATTTCCCCACAAGCCAGTGGAAGAGACTAGAGGTCACTCAGCTCATGTGAGAGAGTCTAAAGGGCTTTCTGGGTCAGTCATGCTTCTAATCCCACTCATTAATGTCTCAGAGTTTTTCTGTTTTGGAGTTAGCCCTGGCCAGCAACTTCTCCCCTACCTACTTAGCGGTGCCATATAAAGGACAAGACACCCAGTCACATTCATATCCCAAAAAATAACAGTCATTATGCATGTACTATATATTGCATAGGACATGCCCATAATAAAAAGTAATTAATTATTTATCTGAAATTCAAATTTCACTGGGTATCCTGCATTTATATTTGCTAAATCTGGCAATTCTATATGGTCCACCATTCGACACGGCTTTTTATTTTTCTAAGACCATAAGGGTTTGTGTTTTAAAAAATCATCTGAAATTAAAGATTCCCTACATCCTTGCCTCGCTTCATTAAGTATTCACAACTATCTCAAATCTCAGACGTTGATTAAAGCATCAAAGGCTAATACATTTCATTGGAGCTTCATTTTTTCCCAACTCAATTTCTGGAACAAGGGACTGCACTGGACCATACAATAGTGTAAAACAGAGAGAAGTGGAAAAGAAACAAGTTAAGAAAAATGATAGATGTTTACCAATTCTTGAACAATCTGGATTTGATTCCAGTTTTAATTGTGTGGTCTTATTGGTCCTTTTTCCTCCCAATTTTGTTGCAAGTATTAGAAAACAAATGAGCCATTTCTAATGAGCCTAAGCTAAATATTGATTCAAAAGATGAAGATAATTTTACTTTTATTCAACACAGGTTTAGCTCATTCTCCAATGGATGTCTTTTAAAACAATATGATGAATCAAAACACATTTTACACAAATTCCTTTAGTAAAAAACAAACAAAAACCTCTTTAAGAGCAGTCACCAGCATTCAGGATTTTCCCAAGAACAACAGAGATTGGGAACCCAGTCACAAATTTGTCAAACAAATCACATTTTAGGGCTGAACATGACAGTATTAATAGTTTGCCATGGAAACATCCAAAGATCACAGT